TTAAAAGACAGAAACAAGGACTAAATAAAATGAACGATACCGAATCATTACCTGATTCTTACTCTCAAATTATTCAATCTTTTTCTCCTTCTTAACTGTTTTCCTTCCTTTCTTACTTCTTTTCTTTTCTCTTTCATTTCTCCCTCTATTTTATTCTTCCCACTCTTATGTACCCCTTCCTTCTGTTTTTACCATTTCAACCTTCTTACAACAGTTTGTCGTTTTTCATATTGTCTCGAAACATACTTGAGACATGACCGTTCCACTCTCATCGCATTGTCTTAAAATTAAGAATTTTATATTATACGGACGCACGATTTGCAAGGTAGCTATTTCTGTTATTTTAATTGCTATTTAAAAAATTTTTTTTAATTTATATACATTATCCGTTATTTTAATTGTTATTATATATATTATCCGTTGTATTCATTTCTATTAGATATATTATCTGTTACTTTAATTGGTTTTTTTTTTAAATGTTTATTATATATATTTTACTTAGTAACTAGATATCATACAATTTTTATTATTACGACTGGATTTTTTGTTTACTGCTTACTAAATCTTAGAATACTTTTTTATTGTCAATTTTTAATTTTACTCTTTGCCTTATGGATTACATTTTTATACTTTGCGTTTTATTTTATACATTTTTTATATATTTTTATACTTGCGTTTTATTTCATATACTCAATATTATATGTTTATAATATTTATGGTCTTTTTAACAGATACGAATTACTTTAATTTACAACTGATAACCTGAAGCATGTACTGCAACTTATTACATCGTTCACAGAACTTCTTTACTCATACTGGGCAGCGATCATGTAATTTTCAGTGGAACTTTTCGCTTTTCACTTTTCACTTAGTGATTTCACGTGAACTTTTCCACGAATCACAGTGCGATTTTATAGCTAAATGCGTGGAAAGTAAAATCACCAAAAAAGGGAAATAACTGTACAGATTAAAAATTACTAATATTATCAGAATATATAAATCGCGAATTCTCGATTTTTTAAATCATTTATAGACAGAGTAAACGGATAAACAAGCAATAATAATGAATGTAACAATTAAACAGAAGGAAATGTTATTATCACATTTGAAAGAAAATCCTGATTTAGTAAGAGGTCGAATAAACAGAAAATCGGAAAGTCGACGAAAAATGGTAAGTTAAACGAAAATATTGTATAGATAGAAAATAAAATATAACAAAACTTAATTTTTAGGTTGAAAGTTGGGATAATATCGCGAATATCATTAACGCTGCTGCAGAAGGACCCCAAAAAAATGGAAAGGAATGGGCAAAGGTTTAATACATAGTTATCTTTTGATGTTTTAACACGAAATTTAAGGTAACCTAATATAATCAAATTGATCATATCCTATATCATCTTGTAGACATGGAAAGATATAAAAGCTTATATATTAAAAAAAGAATCCAAAAGACGCAGCCATATAGAAGGAACAGGAGGTGGTCCTCCTTCTAAAATAATTTTTTCCAACTTCGAGGAAGAAGTTTTAGAACTTTTGACGCCTGAATCAGCTGGTTTATTAAATATTCCTGAAGGTGGTATAAATATCGAAGCAACTACTAGTTTACAAAATGATCCTGAAAATTACATAAACATTGAAGAATCTGTATTAAACGACTGTGAAAGGAGTACGGAAGATACAGTAACAATTGAACCACAAATTGAACGATTGCATACAGAAATTTATAATGTAGAAAATGGATCATCGAACATATTAAAACAACAAAAAGGAAAATATATTATTAATAAAGAAAGAAATGAAACAATTCAAAACAAAAATATAACCAAAGGTAATAATAAAGGTAAGTAATATAAAAGTAATATAAAATAAATTGTTTCTTAATGTTTCATAATAATCTTTATTTAATTTATTGATACTTAGAAAACTCAATGAGTGAATTATCTCATCAAATGCTAAAGATACAGCAAAAAAAATACAAACTTAAAAAACAACAAGTAAAGCTTCTAAAAATAGGATTAAAAATGCAGCATTATATGTTAAGTGAACTCAAAGATATAAAAACATCTATACAATCGTGGGAAACATCTGAAACATTATAACCATATACTTAAGCAGTTTATCATCAAATAATGAAAAAATTTGCATTAAAACCTTTATTTTATTATAGTTATTTGGTTTTGTCAAGTACTTGATGTAATAGCTATACTTGCTATATAACATGTATCTAGTGTACAACAAATTCTACTTTATACATTTATTAAGTAATGTATAATTTTTTTGTTTAATGTTTCGTTTTATTAAAATTATATTATAATTTATGCATGAATTCTGTTGTAATATGTTAGAAGTATAAAATTTTATGTTAAAAATATAGAATTTAATATGTCAAAAATAGAAAAATATATAGTCATCTAATATTTAAAGATCTTATAAGTTCGTTTGCTTAGGATATTAGATATTTTTATTTAGGATTTTGTACCTTAATATTTATGTATCGTGCAATTTCTCTTTACATTTTTTAATATTTAGCATAATTTTAATGCGTTTATGTTCAATGTTTAAAAGAATTTATTTTTTAATATAAATAAACGTTTTATACATGTATAAATAAATGCTAAATAAATATGCATTACCATAGATAACAGTTTATTTTATTTTCATACAATAAAAGTTTTATGTAAAATATTGTTGTATCAATGTTTCTCGAACAGCATTCCCTCTTGCACGCATATTAACATTGTTCTCTATTTCTATCTCTTCAATCTCTATATCATCTTCTATATATATTTCATTTGTTGGAACATTATAGTGCTTAGCAATGTTGTGCAGTACACATGTTGCATTTACTATACGTGCTAAAATAAATTGTAAAATGTTGACATAAAATATACTTAAAATATAATATCATAAGAAAGAAACACAATAAAATATTATTACCTGAAAATTCTGGTGCATAATGCAAAGCTCTTTCTTTTCGTAAACATCTCCATCTGCCTTTTAATTCTCCTATTGTTTTTTCTATTGAACATCGCGCTCTAACATGACTATCTGTATATGATGCACCTGGAGATCTCGGTGGCTGATTTAATTTAGGCGTCATTAAAAATGGCAACAAGGGATATCCAGAATCTCCTAGACATATAAAATTAAAATGATGACATATAATGCATAAATGCTTTTATAAAAGTCTAGTGAAAAACATTATTTTGTATATTATCAAGTGGTATTTCTATTTATAGATATATTACAAGTATATTAATATATTTTGTATATTATCAAGTAGCCTAGTTTTACATATAAAACAATGTTAAATGCCAAAATGTATGCTTGTGGACATAAAGAAAGTATATACGTATTTAGATTTACATATAGTAAATGAAAGTAAATGAAAGAATAGTAACTTTTACTAATACGTACGATTACGTAATTGTAAATATAGTAAGACGTAAGATATATTACATATAATATATCATCCTACATATGTATATATCTTACACACTCAATCGTACAATATGATATATTTAAATATAACTTCAAACTTTAAATATAAAAATTAAATATTTTTATATTATGCATACCTATTAACCAGGCATTTCGTCTTCCATTCTCATATTCTCTTAACATATGTCTTGATAACTGAGAGGAACTCCAGACTCTGGCGTCATGTGTACGACCACCATGATTTGTTTTCACAGCTAATATTTTACCATAGTAATCACTAACCTAATTAACAATAATAAACACATAAATGTATCCATTCATTACGTAAATATTACTCTTCTAGAAAAAAACATTGAAAATTTTGAGCAGGTTATACCTAGCATTTAATACAATAGTTTATGTAAATACTATATATAAATACTTACAATCATGACATTCAAAGAATGATATAATTTTCTGTTGATATATAAATGTTCCCTGTTTTTTTCAGGTGGGAAAATCGCTATATGTGTGCCATCTGTAGCTCCTATTGCACCTGGAAAATTAGCATTAATCCAAAACCTGAAAAATAACAGATTTTCTGTATTTAAATATATTTCAAAACATTAATTTCTTTATCATTAAAAAAAATAACAATGATTGTAGCTTACTGCTGCTGAATGGCCTGAATTTCATCGCGTTGTGTAGGAAATTTTATCCAGTCTGGTATTATTATATTGATGGCATCGACAATTTGATGTACTATGTTACTAACAGATGATTGACAGACACAACTTAAAAAGTCTTGTC